CCTCACTTAATGATGGAGTTCCATTCCTGAGACCCTGTTGTTAACCCTTTGAGGGCTGGTCACGTACTTGTACACCCAAATTCTAGCACCTTCAAATCTGGTGGAAGAAAGCTGGCAGGCCTACATATGAAAGAATGGGTCTGTGTGGTCAGTGTGTGCAGTATAAAAGAAATCCTGAAGCACGCTGTACATAATGAGAAAAAAAAAAGCTTCGACTGCAGTTTTGGTTTAAAACACCGACTTTCTAGTGTATTTTCGTATGGTATTTATGGTTGTATTGTCGTTTTCTTGGTCTCATTTGATAGAATGAAAGATATATTACAGAATTAGAGATGATTTTGATTGGTTTCATGTTGACAAGTACCTTGAAATTGAGCTCAAAGTAGCGGAAATGATCGATTTTTGCCGATGTTCAAGAGTAAACAAATCAAGCCACGTATCCAATACACATCAACTGGCGAGTCTAATATTCTTTCAAAAGTGTGCTGATATAATTTATACCATTTTTACAATGCTGTAGTAGTACAGTGGACCCCCGCTTAACGATCACCTCCCAATGCGACCAATTATGTAAGTGTATTTATGTAAGAGCGTTTGTACGTGTATGTTTGGGGGTCTGAAATGGACTAATCTACTTCACAATATTCCTTATGTGAGCAAATTCGGTCAGTGCTGGCACCTGAACATACTTCTCGAATGAAAAAATATCGTTAACCGGGGGTCCACTGTATACATAACAGAAAACCTTCTCTTTTCTGTGAGAATAAAAATTCAAAATGGAAAGCAAAGGTAATGCAAGAGGGGCCTAGAGACTGACTAATGAACAGATAAAATGTTATTTTAGTGCCATGAATGTCTGTCTTCTTTATTCTGAACCATATTTCGAAATTGGCATCTTTTGAAATTTGTGTGAAATTGCCTAAATTGCCAATTTCTGACCACTTTACTGGGTACTTGAAATTGGTAAATGGGCGGCTTCTTGTACTCAATCGATAGAACAAATGGAGTTCTAGGGAAATAGCTATAATTTTAGTCAACTGCAACATCGGAATTGGCCGAAAATAGGGCCAAAGTGGGCAAAATTGCCCGCTTTGAGACCGCTAACTTTGCAAGAACATAATTCCGTAAGCCTTCCATCGAATTTCATACTTTTGGTGCCATTATGATTGGAAAAAGATTCTCTATCATTTCATAAGAAAAAGTAATTTTTTTTTTTCCAAAAATTTTTCGACTCTGAGAACGAGTTTGGGAGAGAGCCTCTCGACCCTCAAAGGGTTAAATGAATTTGTCGCTAAGTGAGGAGCAAACTTTAACAGTAGTGAGTTTGTGTCAACCATCTTTAATATTGTTTTAATGCCACCTTTGCACCATTTATAACATTTCTGGTATACTTTTAAATGTTTATACAGTAGTGTACTATACAGTAGGGCCCCGCTTTATGGCGTTTCGCTTTACGGCATTCCGCTAATACAGTCATTTCAAATTATGACCAAAACTTGCTATACAGCTCCCCCCACCTGACTTTCTAATACGGTCACCGCGCCCCACCCGGTTTGTTTACATTCTCTGTGAGATCCGTAAGCACTAAGTCTCCATTATGTCTGGAAACTCCAAAATTTTAAGTGTTTTTAAAAGTTATTTCATATATACTCTGATAATTATACTTATGTATACCTGTACTTAAATAAACTTACATACTGTGCTGGCATGCAGGTACACATTAAAATCAGTAAGAGTGTCTTATGTCTCAAGACGTCATATTAGTAATGATAATAATAATCACCGAGTCTCATTAAAATGCCGTGTATTACAATAATATACACATTTTCATTAATCCATCTATGATATTTTTTCAAAATTATATAATAAACACGATGTATAACATATAAATATGATAAATACACCCCACAGTAGAATAAATAAACATAAATATGAGATGTGGTAGCAGACGCCTAGCACGTGATGCCATATTAGAAATGATGATAATAATAATACACCTACCATCCGACTTACGACCTGCTTGACTTACGACCACTCGACTTACGACCGTGTTTTTTTTTGCCAAATTTCTGGGAAATAAACAACTATTTGTGTTGTACACAGTGTTTATCCTAAACCTTACAGTATAAAATACAGTACTAAGAGCATAAAAAGTAAAGTAAAACATGAAATACCAAAATAAAACAATAAAATAAAGTCATTATAAAAATGTGATGTTGATATTCAGTAGTAAAGTTCGACTTACGTCCATTTCGACTTATGACCGGTTTCTCGGAACCGAACTCGGTCGTAAGTCAGATGGTAGGTGTAATCACCGAGTCTCATTAAATATCGTATATTATGTTAATATACACATTTTCGTTAATCCATCCATGATATTTTTTTCAAAATTATATAATAAACATGATACATAACATATAAAGATGATAAATACACCCCACAACAGAATAAATAAACATAAATATGAGATGTGGTAGCCAGATAACTTGTACAAGTGATGGCAAGAATAACATTTTCTCTAATCTAACATAAGAGAAAATGTGTTACTGGGGGTAACTGTAGAAAATTATTCCTTTTGTATGTATGTAAGTTTATTCAGGCATACACAAATACAGTTACATAGATTATCATACATAACAGCATATGTGTAGAGAACCTGGGATAACCCCAAAAAGTCAGACAGAGTGACTTATTTCCATTGCCTTCACTCAGAGCATCATTTCTTCTCAAAATGATGTTACATGAGAATGGGAGTGTTCTTCTTTATTTATTCTACCATATCAATGTAGAGACAACCTGTACACAATGTAACTTGTACACAAACCAGACGTGTACACTTTGTTTGTTTACAAAACTTACCTTCACCTGGTTTGTTTATATAACTCTGCGCCTGTCCTCTCTCATGCACTCATTCTTTCTCTCTCTCATTTATTCGTTTTATCTCATTTACTTACTCCTGACCCTACATTAAGACTACAAATATTTTAAGGTAAGTAATGAGTGAAGTGTATATACATTTTATTGCTCTGGGATGCTTAAATATCATAGAATATATGTGTGGGTGGGTTGGCCTGGTATGGTAGCCTGGCTGACTACCATACATACCACACTTGATTTTTTACAATAAATACTACTCATCTCACCCTAGATTAAGACTACAAATATTTTAAGGTAAGTAATGAGTAAACTGTATATGCATTTTATCACTCTGGGATGCTTAAATGTAATAGAATATTATGTGTAGGTGGGGTGGCCTGGTATGGTAGCCCGGCTGACTACCATACATACCACACTTGATTTCTTACAATAAATACTACTTGTCTCACCCTAGATTAAGACTATAAATATTTTAAGGTAAGTAATGAGTGCACTATGTGTGTATTGTACTTTTTTCTTGTTTTTTGATGCCTAGATCTATTGCTAACTTAATATATGTTAGTGTAAACTTGTTATCTAGTATTTGTATACATTTATAAGTGGAAAAAAAGGGTGTTCCACTTTACGGCAGTAGCCTGGAACCTAACCTGCCATATAAGTGGGGCCCTACTTTATATTGAAATAAACAGAATAGAGGAAATCAGCTCTAATATACATTATTTAGGTATTAATACTTCTCAGAAAGCCCACTGTACGTCCGAGGTGTCGGTATACGATTACATTGCTAAGTGAGGAGAGGCTGTATATTTTAACACGTTGGCCATTTCCCACCAAGGCAGGGTGACCCAAAAAGAAAGAAAAATTTCATCATCATTCAACACTTTCACCATCATTCATACATAATCACTGTCTTTGCAGAGGCACTCAGATACAACAGTTTAGATGTCTCTTGAAACAGTCAATATCCCAAACCCCTTTAAAGTGCAGGCATTGTACTTCCCACTTCTAGGAGTCGAGTCCGGCTAATCAGTTTCCCTGAATCTCTTCACAAAATATTACCCTGCTCACACTCCAACAGCTCATCAGTCCCAAAAACCATTCGTCTCCATTCACTCCTATCTAACATGCTCATGCACACTTGCTGGAAGTCCAAGCCCCTCACCCACAAAACCTCCTTTATCCCCTCTCTCCAACCTTTCCCAGGATGACCTCTACCCCACAGTCCTTCCCTATAAATTTATACACTCCCCAAGTCATTCTACTTTGTTCCATTCTCTCTAAATGACCATCCACCTCAACAACCCCTCTTTAGCCCTCTGACTAATACTTTTAGTAACTCCATACCTTCTCCTAATTCCCACACTACGAATTCTCTGCATAATATTTACACCATACGTTGCCCTTAGACACAACATCTCCATTGCTTCCAGCCTCCTCCTTGCTGCAGCATTTACAACACATGCTTCATACCCATATTAGAGTGTTGGTATCACCATACTCTCATACATTCCCTTCTTTGCCACTATGGGATAATGTTTTTTGTCTCCACAGATACCTCAAGGCACCACTCACCTTTTTTCCCTTCATCAATTCTATGGCTAACCTCATCCTCCATAAACTCATCTGCTGACATGTCAACTCCCAAATATCTGAACACATTCACTTCTTCCATACTCCCTCCAATGTGATATCCAAGTTTACTTTATCTAAATTGTTTGATATCCTCATCACCTTACTCTTATCTATGTTTACTTTCAACTTTCTACCTTAACATTTACCTTTCTATCTTTCTGTAATAACACACTAAACATCTTAAAACCAAATATAAAAGTTTTTACATCCAATTGTTTCATAATATGAATTAAAGTGAGCTTTCTTATCATATTCTAATTAGTGTAACTGTTTGCAATTGCAACTGAAAAAGTTCATCCAAAATTGAAAAGCACATACTATGAAGACCTTTTCATGTGCTATTTAATTTGTACTTTTTTAACATGGTGGCATTTACAATAGATTGTATTTTATAGAGAAGTGTTATAAGAGAGCTTGTACCATAAAAAATTGTTCAGAAGAATCAAACCTATATCATCCTTACTTTAATACATTCATTAGTAATTTCTCACCTTCTCCATCCTTCGGTGCAGTTCTTTTGTCGGCAGAGGAAAGCAGGTTCATCAGAATGATCACCACAATCATTATCTAAATCGCAATACCATTGCTTGGATATGCACTTGCCATTCTTGCACTGGAACTCTGTCTCTTTGTCACATGGCCGATTATCTGTGGATGAATTTGCACTTAAACATAACTATGAGTAGTTCAATGCTATAATAAATAACAAGAGAGAATGAATGAGGAACTAAGAATGAAGTTCAGAATACACTTTTTGCAAATAATAAAGTATTTTCCAAAATGTATAGGATATCTGAAGGAAATACAATGGGTTGTACAATGCCCACACTCTGAAGGAGGGGTGAGAATATTGCAGTTTGGATGGCCATCTGAACTGTGAGGTAAGCATGCTCCCGGCAAGCCAGTGACTGAATGAGTGATGATGAAGTTTTTTTTTTTTTCGGGAGGGGGGGGGGGTTTACCCTACCTCAGTAGGAGATGGTTAGTATTAAAAAAAAATTAAAATAAGGGGGAAAGGATAGGAAAGAAGAGGAAGAGGTGAAAGAGTGAGGAGATAACAAAACAAAACAAGAAGATGGGGGCAGTAAAGCAACAGCAAAGAACTACAGACCAACAGCACTAACATCCCATATCATAAAAATCTTTGAAAGGGTCCTAAGAAGCAAGATCACCACGCATCTAGAAACCCATCAGTTACACAACCCAGGGCAACATGGGTTTAGAACAGGTCGCTCCTGTCTGTCTCAACTATTGGACCACTACGACAAGGTCCTAAATGCACTAGAAGACAAAAAGAATGCAGATGTAATATATACAGACTTTGCAAAAGCCTTCGACAAGTGTGACCATGGCGAAATAGAGCACAAAATGCGTGCTAAAGGAATAACAGGAAAAGTCGGTCGATGGATCTATAATTTCCTCACTAACAGAACACAGAGAGTAGTCGTCAACAGAGTAAAGTCCGAGGCAGCTACGGTGAAAAGCTCTGTTCCACAAGGCACAGTACTCGCTCCCATCTTGTTCCTCATCCTTATATCCGACATAGACAAGGATGTCAGCCACAGCACCGTGGTCTTCCTTTGCAGATGACACCCGAATCTGCATGACAGTGTCTTCCATTGCAGACACTGCAAAGCTCCAGGCAGACATCAACCAAATCTTTCAGTGGGCTGCAGAAAACAATATGAAGTTCAACGATGAGAAATTTCAATTACTCAGATATGGTAAACATGAGGAAATTAAATCTTCATCAGAGTACAAAACAAATTCTGGCCACAAAATAGAGCGAAACACCAACGTCAAAGACCTGGGAGTGATCATGTCGGAGGATCTCACCTTCAAGGACCATAACATTGTATCAATCGCATCTGCTAGAAAAATGACAAGATGGATAATGAGAACCTTCAAAACTAGGGAGGCCAAGCCCATGATGACACTCTTCAGGTCACTTGTTCTATCTAGGCTGGAATATTGCTGCACACTAACAGCACCTTTCAAGGCAGGTGAAATTGCCGACCTAGAAAATGTACAGAGAACTTTCACGGCGCGCATAACGGAGATAAAACACCTCAATTATTGGGAGCGCTTGAGGTTCCTAAACCTGTATTCCCTGGAACGCAGGAGGGAGAGATACATGATTATATACACCTGGAAAATCCTAGAGGGACTAGTACCGAACTTGCACACGAAAATCACCCACTACGAAAGCAAAAGACTTGGCAGACGATGCACCATCCCCCCAATGAAAAGCAGGGGTGTCACTAGCACGTTAAGAGACCATACAATAAGTGGTTTGCGTGCAGCCAGCAGCAACAGCCTGGTTGATCAGGCTCTGATCCACCAGGAGGCCTGGTCTCAGACCGGGCCGCGGGGGCGTTGACCCCCGGAACTCTCTCCAGGTAAACTCCAGGTAAACTCCAGGAGGACGAGGATGAAAAAGGAGGCAGTGAGGAGAGATTAGGTCGAAAAAGAGAAGGTGGAGGAGGGAGTGTCTTGACAATAAAAATTTTTGTAATGTTGCAGTTACAGTATATACAGCACAAACATACCGCAATTATCCTCATCTGAGCCGTCACGGCAGTCCTTGTCCCCGTCACACTTCCAGGCTATGTTGATACATTTGCCTGTGGTCTTACACTTAAATTCCAATTCTGTACATTCCAACTGACAGTTGCTCTCATCAGACCTGAAAAAAAATTCACATTACTATAAATCTTAACAAAACAACTTAATAATATGGAAAAAAAGTGTTTAAATTTTACCTGAAGCCTTCTAGGAGCTCTTATCCAATCACTATATAGTACTAAATACAGTGGACCCCCGCATACCGTTGGCATCACATAACGTTAAATCCGCATACCAATACATTTTATCGCTAAGATTTTGCCTCGCATACCGCTAAAAAACCCGCTCAACACTATTCGTCCGAGACGCGTCTAATGTGCGGCCTTGAGCCAGCCTCACATGTTCCGCTGGTGGCACTGTTTACAAGCCAGCCTCCGCGGAAACATCCAAGCATACAATCGTAACATTTCGTATTATTACAGCATTTTTGGTGATTTTATCTGCAAAATAAGTGACCAATGGGCCCCAAGAAAGCTTCTAGTGCCAACCCTGTGGTAAAAAGGGTGAGAAATATTATCGAAATACTGTGGTACCATGGTCAACTGCTGCTGCTGCTGTAGCACTGTCAGCTGCTGCTGCTGCTGTACCACTGTCAGCTGCTGCTGCTGCTGCTGTAGTGCCATCTGCTGCTGCTGATGCTGCTGTAGTACTGTCTGCTGCTGCTGTAGCATCGTCTGCTGCTGCTGTAGCACTGTCAGCTGCTGCTGCTGCTGTAGCACCGTCAGCTGCTGCTGCTGTAGTACCGTCAGCTGCTGCTGCTGCTGTAGTACCATCTGCTGCTGCTGCTGCTGTAGTACCGTCTGCTGCTGCTGTAGTACCGTCTGCTGCTGCTGTAGCATCGTCTGCTGCTGCTGTAGCGCTGTCAGCTGCTGCTGTAGCACTGTCAGCTGCTGCTGCTGTAGCACTGTCAGCTGCTGCTGCTGCTGCTGTAGCACCGTTGTTGGTGTGGCTTATTGAGAATACCAAGAAACAATTAACCCCAGAGGGTTAGCCACCCAGGATAACCCAAAAAAGTCAGTGTCATCGAAGACTGTCTAACTTATTTCCATTGGGGTCCTTAATCTTGTCTCCCAGGATGCAACCCACACCAGTCGACTAACACCCAGGTGAACAGGGAAAAACGCCTGGAACTAGTGCTCATATTGGTGAATTTAAAGCCAGCAAAGGTTGGTTTGAGAGATTTAAGAATCATAGTGGCATACACAGTGTGATAAGGAGGAAAAGGCACTCCCAGGACACAGTGTCTCATCAGTCATTGCTGCATCTTCAATAAAGGTAAGTGTCATTTATTCTTCATTTAGTAGAGTAGTACATGCACAATATATATTGTGCATGTACTACTCTACTATTGTGCATGTATCCTTCTCTTTGTGTGTAGGAAAATGTATATTTCATGTGGTAAAAATTTTTTTTTTTTCATACTTTTGGGTGTCTTGCATGGATTAATTTGATTTCCATTATTTCTTATGAGGAAAACTCATTCGCATAATGATAATTTCGCATAACAATGAGCTCTCAGGAACGGATTAATATCGTTATGCGGGGGTCCACTGTACCCTGCAAAACCCACACCTGAAGGAAAGCTTAATGACATCATGTTTTTTTTTTGTTTTTTTTTTTCAACAAGTCGGCCGTCTCCCACCGAGGCAGGGTGACCCAAAAAAAGAAAGAAAATCCCCAAAAAGAAAATACTTTCATCATCATTCAACACTTTCACCACACTCACACATTATCACTGTTTTTGCAGAGGTGCTCAGAATACAACAGTTTAGAAGCATACACATATAAAGATACACAACATATCCCTCCAAACTGCCAATATCCCAAACCCCTCCTTTAAAGTGCAGGCATTGTACTTCCCATTTCCAGGACTCAAGTCCGACTATATGAAAATAACCGGTTTCCCTGAATCCCTTCACTAAATATTACCCTGCTCACACTCCAACAGATCGTCAGGTCCCAAGTACCATTCGTCTCCATTCACTCCTATCTAACACGCTCACGCACGCTTGCTGGAAGTCCAAGCCCCTTGCCCACAAAACCTCCTTTACCCCTCTCTCCAACCCTTTCGAGGACGACCCCTACCCCTCCTTCCTTCCCCTATAGATTTATATGCTTTCCTTACTCCCTCTCTCCAACCCTTTCGAGGACGACCCCTACCCCTCCTTCCTTCCCCTATAGATTTATATGCTTTCCTTACTCCCTCTCTCCAACCCTTTCAAGGATGACCCCTACCCCGCCTTCCTTCCCCTATAGATTTATATGCTTTCCATGTCATTCTACTTTGATCCATTCTCTCTAAATGACCAAACCACCTCAACAACCCCTCTTCTGCCCTCTGACTAATACTTTTATTAACTCCACACCTTTTCCTAATTTCCACACTCCGAATTTTCTGCATAATATTTACACCACACATTGCCCTTAAACAGGACATCTCCACTGCCTCCAACCGTCTCCTCGCTGCTGCATTTACCACCCAAGCTTCACACCCATATAAGAGTGTTGGTACTACTATACTTTCATACATTCCCTTCTTTGCCTCCATAGATAACGTTTTTTGACTCCACATTTACCTCAACGCACTACTCATCTTTTTTCCCTCATCAATTCTATGATTAACCTCTTCCTTCATAAGTCCATCCACCGACACGTCAACTCCCAAGTATCTGAAAACATTCACTTCTTCCATACTCCTCCTCCCCAATTTGATATCCAATTTTTCTTTATCTAAATCATTTGATACCCTCATTACCTTACTCTTTTCTATGTTCACTTTCAACTTTCTACCTTTACGCACATTCCCAAACTCATCTACTAACCTTTGCAATTTTTCTTTAGAATCTCCCATAAGCACAGTATCATCAGCAAAAAAAGTAACTGTGTCAATTCCCATTTTGAATTTGATTCCCCAAAATTTAATCCCACCCCTCTCCTGAACACCCTAGCATTTAATTCCTTTACAACCCCATCTATAAATATATTAAACAACCATGGTGACATTACACATCCCTGTCTAAGACCTACTTTTACCGGGAAGTAGTCTCCCTCTCTTCATCATGTACATCATGTACAGTACTATATTATTTGCTAGAATTAGAAGAGGGTTCTCTAATTTGAACACTTCATTATGAGCTTTATCACACTAATTTTGCAAGTTGCAGCCTGGTTTGACCCACAGATTTCCCTGCTGCACTCACAGCCACACCTTTAAGTGGAGTGCTTGAGACTAGAACACAGATCTTGATCTGAGGAATTAGATCTACCTTCTCCCCTTCAGATCAAACTTGATTACCTCCCATTTGCTTGGTTCTTTATAACTCGTGGGTTTAGCATTTCACCATGAGTATACCATTTAAAATAATAATAATAATAATAATAATAATAATAATAATAATAATAATAATAATTATAATTATTATTATTATTATTATTATTATTATTATTAGCTGATATAATGTATATTTAAAGTTAATGTTTGGAGAAGTTTTCAAAGAATTAATTTCCAAGTGAATGTATTATCGCAAATCCCAGCATACGAGTCAATCTATTCAGTAGGGACCCACTTATACGGCAGGTTAGGTTCCAGGCTAATGCCGGAAAGCAGACTTCGCCGGAAAGCTGAACTCCATTTTTTTTTCTATTTATAAAGGCATATAAATGCCAGATAACAAGTTTACACTAACATATATTAAGTTAGCAATAGAACTAGGCATTAAAAAGTAAAATACACACACAGAACACTCATTAACCTTAAAATATTTGTATTATTTGTAGTCGTAATGTAGGGCAAAGGGTGAGTAGTGTTTACTGTAAGAAGTCAGGTGTGGTAGCCCTCCTGGCCACATCACCCACACGTACTATACTACAATGCTTAAAGCTCCCTAGAGCGATAAAATGCATATACAGTACACTCATTACTTACCTTAAAATATTTGTAGTCTTAATGGTCTTAATGTAGGGTGAGAGGTGAAAAGTATTTATTTGTAGAAAGTCATGTGGGAGGTATGGCATCCTGCCTGGCCACTCCCACCTACTATGACATTAAGCTCCCTAGAGCAATAAAATGCATATATAGTACACTCATTAATTACCTTAAAATATTTGTAGTCTTAATATAGGGTGAGAGGAGAGTTTTATTTGTAGGAAGTCAGGTTTGGGAAGTATGGGTAGCCAGGAAGGGCAGCCCACCCCACCACACCTACACATAAACAAACCAGACGAACATGTCTGATTTTCATCACTTTACATTGTGTACAAGTTGTTTCCACGTTGATACAGTAGAATAAATAAAGAGAAACATTCCCATTCTCATGTAACACTATTTTTAAAAGAAATGATGCCCTGAGTGAAGGCATACGAAAGGAACAATTTTCTAGCTACCCCCAGTAATATTAGTGTACACATTTTCTGTCTGACTACAAGTCGCCGGGCTACCACAAGTCCTACAAGTCGCCTGGCTACCACAAGTCCTACAAGTTGCCTGGCTACCACAAGTCCTACAAGTTGCCTCGCTATCACAAGTTCTACAAGTCACCTGGCTACCACAAGTCCTACAAGTTGCCTGGCTGCCACAAGTTCTACAAGTTGCCTGGCTACCACAAGTCCTACAAACTGCCTGGCTACCACAAGTCCTACATGTCGCCTGGCTACCACATCTCATATTTATGTTTATTTACTGTGGGGTGTATTTAGATGGATTAAGTAAAGTGTCTATACTATTAACGTTTTATACGATATTTAACCCTTTCAGGGTTTCAGCCATACTAGTATGGCTTATGCACCAGGGTTTTTGACATACTAGTACGCCTAAATTCTAGTGCCCTCAAATCTAGTGAGAGAAAGCTGGTAGGCCTACATATGAAAGAATGGGTCTATGTGGTCAGTGTGCGCTGTATAAAAAAAATCCTGCAGCACACAGTGCGTAATGAGAAAAAAAAAACTTTGACCATGTTTTTGGATTAAAACAGCAACTTTGCACTGTATTTTCGTATGGTATTTATTGTTGTATTCTAGTTTTCTTGGTCTCATTCTATAGAATGGAAGCCATATTACAGAAAT